ACCAGGATTTACGTCCAAACTATCAGATTTTCAATGAGCACAGAGAAACTTTCCACTTCCAGCAGATGAATGTGAAAACATCCTTCTAGTGTCAAACTCTGCACATACAGCATTCAGACATTACGCTGTAGAGACAGGAAGAGAAACATGTTTATGAGTGGGGGCGACTTTAAAATTAACCCTTTCCTTTTTCTTTTTTTTTCTTTTTTGCCAGGAGCGCTTTGCTGAGATCTTTGGGCAGGACGCAGCGGCAGAGATCAGGAGGTCTCAGGAGAGTTTCAAGAAGTGGCTGCTGGCGGGGATGACCCTGGTGACCGGGGTCGTGGTGGGCTCTTTCATTGTCCAGAAACGCCTGTGAGGGGAGATGGACGACAACCTTCCTTCCCCCACCTGCCTGCCTATACACCACAGAAGTTAAAGTGAAGGTCCTGTTTATTTGTCTCGTCAGAACTGCTGATGATGTTTACTCTTTTTTTTTTTTTTCGCCACTCACACGTCCTTCAGTGGACTAAGAATCATCACATGTTGTTGAACCTTTGAGAAAAATCCAGAGAGGAGGGAGGATGTTTGTCAGTCGTCTTCATGTGTTCACCTTCCTACACCATGATGAAAATCGTGTGGTCATACAGCGGCAGAAATACTATTCTTTCATCCACTGAACCAATTGTTCCTTATATCCTTTCTCCACTGGTTCCTGTATACGTTCCTCCTTTTCATGTTTGTATGTATTAGTTTTAACAAATTTTGCTTTCCCATTTATGTTCCTCAAAAGAAGCTGAAACTGATCTTCACATTAACCCCAACCTGTCTGATATAAAGAGTCAGTGTGCCGTGGGGCCTGGGTTGCTGTACATGTCTCGTCTTGAAGCTTGTTTTGTTGCTCGTCCCCACAGACGACTCTACAATAGCTTTGTATGTGCCATATGAAGAGTGAAAGCAGGGGAGGATGTAGCACCTGCCCCTGAACAGCTTCTGTAGTTCCCACTGCCTGCCAGCCATCCTGATCACCAACACATATAAAAAACATCATAATCCATGACTCCATACGCTGATTGTCCTTTATGCTCATTGTTTGGTATGAAAAGCAGTCAAACTGATTTTCTCTTCATAGAACATGGGAGTGTTAAACTAAAAAGCTAATGGGAAGCTAACTCCTCTGCTTGTTTGTGTTTGTTTGGTTTTGGATTTGTGAACCATTAAAGCCCCACTGCTCCCGCTGGTCTGTGCTTTATGGTCATACTTGGCCTCGGTTTGATCCTGTTTGTGTTTAGTCAGCCTGCAGAGTGCCAGACCAGTGTGTGGCAAGTTCTCAGAATCAGTGTAACTGCAGTTCATACAAGCAGGGCGCCATGGCTCCGACCCTCCATGTTTACTACACAGTAGCTGAAGAATGCAGCAAATACTGTAGCAACACATACAAATAGATAAAGCAGCAGCAGTCACAGCAACACCGCCTTGAACTGTCTTAAGGGTTAGGCATATTTGGATCTACTTTATTTTAACCCTCCTTATTTAGCAATTAATAGCAGTATATAAACATAACAAATGGTTTACAACGCACGATAATATAGTTCTGAGTAGGGCTGTGTATTGGCAGAAATCTGTTCAATATGTTGTGATACTGTAAGAAAGGCGATATAGTATGTCTTTCTTAAAAGCTAATATTAGGAAAATTGTCGTTTTATAACCGTCAGTTTATGTTTACAGCACTGCTTTCTAGCGGTTAGGGGTTCAAACACAAAATTCGATAGTGTTTTTGAAAATATTGAAATTGATATTTTTCACAAAACTAAATATTGTGATACTTAAGTGTATCACATTTCTTACACATCTAGTTGTACGCATGTATAAGGACATTTTTAAGTGTTTCTTAATGTTAACGATCTCCTATGAAGCATCTATCACTGGCATATTAACAGTTAATGAATCATAACTTTCATATTTAATGATGTATGATTACACACAAATCCTGATATTAGACATTTATTAGACCTTAATGTTATTATTTATATAGATTTTTTTCTTTTACCAAGATTCATATTGAGCGGGACGTTTTACATTGTAAAAATCTACTGGTGGACAGACTGTGTTGATCTAACCCATTTATTGCTGTAGCTGTAGTTACATCTGTGTTTTATTATTCATTCATTATTTGTTCATAATCCACTTATAGATGCCAATTGTTGAAAATAATACATTAATAAACACTTATATGAAATATCCTTATATGAGGTTGCACCTAGATTGCAGTGTGTTAGAAACTGTTAATTTATTGCTGAGAGAGCGGCAACGATCAGTTCATTGTACAATTAGTCAAGGGCACACAATTTTGATATAACTGAATTACGATTATCAAGTAAAACTGACTGGTTCCAGCTTCTTAAATGTAAGAATTTGCTGCTTTTCTCTGATGTTCATTGATTCTATAATTTAATGTAAATGGAACGTGTTTGGACTGTTGGTCTCAACAAGACATTTGAAGAGTTTACCTTGGGTGCTTGGACACTGACCATTTTCTGACATTGACTAAAAGAAAACAAAAGCCTTGACAATGACAATAATCTTTAGTTACAGCCATGTTTGTACTACTCAATAGTGGGGCCGAATAAAGTTTTGGAGTTATTTCCGTGATAATTTTGCAATAAAATCCTAATCATGTGCTGCAATGCTCAAACAGAAGACTATTTTTCCCATTTCTTTCCTCTGTGCTAATGAAATAATTACTCCTTATTGCCGAACCTTCAGTCAAATCTTCCATTTATCAGTGACACAGTTATCACCAGAGTGAACATCATAGCCTTTTCAAGATTTATGTAGCAAACTGATGAAGCAGCTCTGCATCAGACCTTGTTAGATTTGATTATAAATGTGTCATGATGTGTCTGTTTACCATCTCAAGCCAATCAACAACTGTCAGTGGCTGTAGGAGCGTAAAAACTAGACACCCAAACCTTCATATCCCATCTCACACACGCTCACTCCAAGTTATCCATGCATTGCTATCACAGCCCCCCACCACACGCACACACTTCTCCTCCTGCGTTCTCCCCAGACACCTCAAATCTGTCAAATCTCCATCCGTCTCTCCTACTCTTTCCCTCTCCATCCAGCTCCACCTCTTCCTCTGCGCTCCCCCGGCTGTCACTGCACCTAGTCACGTGTGTCAGTCACAGCTGGCCCACCTGCTGCTTCCCACAAACACACCTCGGCACGCGCACGGCGTTTGGAATGAACACACCTGCCAGTCAGACGTAGTCCACGAGAGACAGGGAGAGGAAGACCTCGTCTTTGTTTCTAGACATCTTTAATTTAAAGCTGAAGTCAGAGGAGTGTTTGTCGCCTGCCGTTTCAAGCACCAGTACCTGGCAGCTCGATTAATTTACCAGGAAGGGAGGGGAGGTCGGGTGCACTCCTCCCTGTTCCCAGTGCTTTAATCTTGATCTTATTCCAAATACTGTCTCGAGCCAGGGGCGTAGTAAGAGTGGTGGCAGAAATATCTGTTGAATTTAGTAGCATATATATTTTTATATATATATATATATATATATATATATAATATATATATATATATATATATATATATATATATATATAATATATATATATAGTATATATATATTCTATCAATATTTGCTTGGAGAAGCGCCCAAATGAAGATACTTGAACTCAAAAACATTATTGTGGCACATTAGTACAGCATTGAATAGAAACATCTTAGACATTTTTACAAATACAGATCATGAAATTAACATGTTATTTTTAAAAATTAATGTGTTAAATTTGACAGCATTGCAAATGCAAAACTCTGGTGGCAGCTGGGGTGGGCAGGCTTTTTTTTATAGGCGTGGCAGCTGCCACCCCCCTAGGTCCGCCCCTGTCTCCAGCTTACAACAATGCGTCCTGAGTTCTATTCATGTGTGTTCTAGCAGCTCAATAAAGCACAACACAGCTTTGTTGCAGGACAGGCAGGCGCCATTTTCTCATCAAAGAAGGGTTCAGCACTGGATTGAGCTGTGTGGAACCCAGAGTCAACGTAGAGGGAAGGGAGGGTAAAAGAAAAAGAATCTGGACTGACGCGTGAAACGTCCCATCACTTCACTGTCAGTGCAAGTGTCTCTCTCCATCCATGTCCACTTCTGCTCCTTTCCATCGTCACAGGTCACATCATCATGAACATTTACACACATGGGGTTCTCTTTCTTAAGTCCTTCCAACATTTCACCAAATAAAAGCAAACTGAATATCATCCTCTAAACTCTTGTGTCCTGAGCATCTTATTAGCCAAGCTCTGCTCTCATACATTCCAGTACAGTATATATTTTTCTAGTGTGTGCCCCACCAAGAAGCTGCTCGCAGGCTTTTCTCTGCTGTCCTGGCCCTCACTGAAACAAGTTCCCTTCCTACACATATATATATGTGTGTGTGAGAGAGAGAGTGTGTGTGTGTCTGTGTGTGTATGCATGTGTGTGGCAAAATGTTCTTGAAGGAGGCACAAATGAAGGAGGTGTGACAGCATTGACACAATGCTATATATATATATGCTAGTTATTTAAACTGATTAGAATAGTATGTTAGCTTAGTAACATATTTAAGAAAAACAGAATTGATGATGGCTTTTAAACATTATTTATATTTGTTGTAAAAAGCATAATTGTGCCCCTTCAAATGGCCTTAACTCCATCTTTACGTTGATGTGTGTCGTCATTTGTTGTGTTCTTTTTTTTAAGATTATTGGACTGCCACTAGACAAGAAAATGCAAACAAAGTGAGAGGATATTTTCAGAAAGTTAGGTCTCCAATGCATTCTTGACAGTCATGATGATACAGAATTAAAGATCGCAACCATGCCCAATGGTCTGTTTGTCTTAGAATGCCATTGTAAAATTTGAAATGACATTGAACCTAATAAAGCCCGTGTTGGAAGATGTACTGAGTCTGTGTCTTGGATTGTGGGTGGCTTTGGTGTGTTAAAGCATGCGTTCATGGAGAATTGTCCATTAAGACACATTGAATATTCAAGGTATTTCCAGGAGAAGGCATCCGTTTTTTAGCATTTCCAAAGCAGTTTACACACTGGCCTAAACTCAGTGCCGCTGGACAAAATGAAGCAACTTTTTCCATCAAACAACACAACTTGTGGTCAAATTTATATTTTTTTGTTTTCTATCAATAATAAAACCTTGTGCAGAATTTAAAACTTTGTTGATACTGTACACAGTTAAGTATGTGCCAAAAAAAGCCAAGCAAGCATATGTAATGCTGCATGAAATCTATTTTAAAGGTGATTTTAATAGAGATAACTGATCTTTTTTTATTATTTATTTTTTTTAGATACTGTTTCCTTCATTTTATTCTCATGTGCTTGGTTTTTGTGCACATGTAAGACAATAAGCACCCAGACTGGACTAACTGGGACATTTATTATGGGACAGCTTTTATACTGATTTTTTTCTTTACCAAAGAACCAAAAAACAAGCACAGAGGTGGCCTCTTTTATAGACGGATGAGGACTGAAGAGTTGGTCAAAGGAGTTCCACACAGGTGCATTATGTATGTGTGGAGGATGTTACATCCTGATGAAAGAATACTTGTAAGTTAAAGTTAAACAATGCTCTGTAGGTGAAATAGGCAATAGAAAAGGGTGCATCAATATGCAGACTGAACAACTGTCTGTTAAATGACACTGAATTCAAAAATAAATAGAATTAATAACAAAACAATGTATGGAGATTAACGACAGTGGAGGAGTCTCACTGCTGGTCATCAGAGGGCAGATTTTCCTTATTTAAGAAAAAGCAAAGAGAAAAGGACTTGGAAAGTAAACTGACGAGACTTCAAGAACAACGTAAAAAGAGATGGAAGAGAAAATAAATGGATCAAATAAAAAAAGAATAGATTGTCTGGGCACAGAGCAAATAGAAAGGGCACTCACCTTTGCCAAACAATTATTATGATTATGCAAGCATTATGATAGTGACCAAGGGCTCAGACAGTTTTAGCATGGAGGTGATGAAGACAGAATAATAAAACTAGTATTCACAGGGCTCTTCTTGATTTTAAGGGGTCTAAGAAAACTCATAAAATATACACAGTAGGCCTATATTTCAGCTTTTCAGACACTGAATTTGTCAATAAGTATGTATGATTGTAAAATTAAAATATGCATAATAATAATATAGGCAGGATTGTTTTAAAAGTTCCCTAAAATTTGGCGCCCAGTTAGCTCAGTCGGTAGAGCTAGC